TTCTTATTAAGAAACTGAGTGATAGCAACAAAATCTGATACTCTCTGTGTCCTCCTGGGGTTACACAAACTCCAGAAGGCCTTGGAGCCTGACTTGACAGCAGGACAATTTATATAGTGAAGTGTCTTAAGTGATGTTCCCCAGAATCTGATTGGGAAATAAATAGTAATATGCTTACTCCATACTTGCTTAGCTGCCAGACTTGACAGTCATTCCTTCCAGAGTATAAAGTGATGTCTGCATTGCCAGGCACAGCAGGCTAATAATACTCTATGCAAAGTAAAGTTTCTGAATTTCATTTACCCTATCTGATTTTATTAATTTCTTTTGTTTTTCTAGTACATTACTAATATCTTAAACTGTGTCCTAATATTCCAAGATTTTGATGTGTTGTAAGAGTCCAAAGAAAAATGTGTAAGCAGTGTAATAAGAATTAGTCCAAAGCCCAAGAAGTAGGAATAGGAATAATTTTTCAACTCTAATGGAAAATGAACACAGTAGAGCTTTGCTAATAATTTGTACGTAGATAGGTACTCCGTATTAAAGGAAAAAAACATGAAAACTCATGCTCAGCAAATAGGTATTATGGTTATTTTTACAAGTTGTCAAGTTAATAAAGAAGATTTCAATACTTTGCATAGTGAAGATGAATGTAAATATTGTATTTTTGATTTCTAATAGTGTACCATACTATGATCATATTGCTAATACGAATAGCTAAAGATAAGCAAAAATCTTTAGCTCCTTAAGAAAATAGGCTTTCCATACAGCATAATTTAGGAGTCTGATTCCCATTCATTATGTTGTCAGAGCAAATGGTGCAGGTGCTAAAATGTTTAAATCGGTTATAGGAAAGATTTTTTTTAAACAATGTTTTAATCTCTAGGCATTTAGAAGCTAAATATTTAAGCAGCCACTAGACATAATGTTTGAATTTTTAACTACTGTTAAACTTCGAAAGACAAAATTACAATCTCCAGTCATAAGCTTGAGCTTGTGGTGCATCCTAAACTCAACTCTACTGTGTTGAAGTTTTTGTTCAAACTGTACGTAATCAGCACACAATCTAAGTACTGAACTACCTCATAAAAAATGGGTAGAAAAAGTTTCATGTAGCTCTAATAAATTGTATTTAAAAGGGGAAAGTAACAAGAAAGTATAAAATAATATGCTTGCTATGATTATGAAGTAGTCATCCAAAACACTCAGAATCAGCATCAGAATATTTCTGTCTTCGTTATTAGTTTATTCTTTTTCTCATAATTTTTACACCCCCAGCATCATGGAAATAGAGACTTCTGATCTCAGATGAGCTGAAATTTAAATCCAAACTAATAAACCCCCAGACATTCAGACAAACTTTACTGTTCAGTAAAAATATCCATGTAAAGAAAAAGTTGCAATAAAATAATGGATATTATTTAATCTGCTAAAATATTTTATATAAAGTAACTGATAGAGAAGCTAATTGAATTCCCAGATGAGTGAAATGGGGGGACTCAATTTCTGTGCTAGATTGAAGAAGAGTGTTCTGTAGTGGGGTAGGGGCAGTGTTGAAGGTGGGAGGCTTGCTTGGTCAGAGTCACCTGCATGATCCTTCTGCAGCTGATTTTGAACCCATGCTGCTGTGATTTACCTCCTTTTTACTAGTTCCTAGCTTTCTTGAAGATTATTGGAGAGAATGGAGGTTTAGTAGCTGTAAGAGAGAAACAACAGAGCATGTTAAATGTTATTATGGGATCTGAGACATCACCTTGAGGCACACGAGACTCCACAGTGGTGGAGCAGGGAGCTTTCTGACCTTTCTGGAGAGGTGGAGGAGGTAGAAAGTTACTTAATTCCTCAAGGTGATGTAGGACACAGGAGCTCTTTTCAGTGATCAGAAAGAGTAGTCGAGCCAGTCTGGGTAGTTTGAAAGAAGGTACATCCACTAGGAAGACATTGGACTTGGATATAACAACACCTGGGATTTGCACAGTGTTGATGATGGTGAACCAGAGAAACCCAGTTTGATGTTAGTTCTCAGGATGAGTTGGCAAAAAGTCCGTTTGCTAGAAAAGAATCATCCTTTCACTTGTGAACTGAGCAAATGTAGTTTGGGCAAAATTGAGAGGCACAAATTATAGAATCCCATAATGCTGGTTTTTTTTACAGTCACAGTATAACACAGGATTGGCAATTAAATGAATGACAATAATGCTCTTTATCCCCTCTCCCTCCCACCCAGACAGGGAAAGGAGAGAGAGAATAAGGGGCTAAAAGAACTTTTTTTCCAAGTTGTGAACATAGTTTTTCCATAGCAAAAATTCCCTGCCAATTTATTGAACCGTGGGGTTCAATGGGGTTAAAACAAGCAGCATCTCAGTGAACTTGCATTGTAACACAGCAAAAAAAATCCATGACATTATTTTTTGTAATTGCTGATTTCAGAGTGCTTTTAGGAAGTCAAGAAAATGGCTGTGTGAAGGAGCCTTATGATGATGGTACAGCATGTGGGCTGTGGTCCTAGAGGCGTGTGTTCTGTAAGCTATTAGTAGTAACCAAGTGAGGCAGTAACTGCAGGGGCCTCTTCTTGTGATGAATTTAAAACTGAAAAATAAATGCTCTCCTGAATTTCGAAACGCCAGACATGCAACTCCCCCAACTATATACATTCATAATGTTACAGTATTTACTTTTGAGGCATTCGTGGGTCCTCGGACAGTGAGTTATGTGCAGCCTGTGTCTGCTCACGCTCACCTCGGGCAGGAAACCCTGCAGGGCTCAGTGAGGCCACTGAGCTCCCACCTCACCGAGCAGAGAGTCTCATTTAAAAAATGTTACATGCAGTCTCAGCACCTGCTTCTTCCTTGAGAAGCAGTATATTTTCCACATATCTCTTTAAAATATGAGTAAGAGTATTCATGGGGTTGGAGTCTTTACTGGTGAATATTTTCTTTAATAGTTTGTTCATTTTTTTACAAGTATGTTCAACTGTTTCATGTGAAACACACAGATGTGCTCATTTATAATTGCGGTCATGATGTCCACAATGTTACGGAAATAATTGCAGGTTTTTAAGGTAATAAAAGAAGTAAATTAGTCCATATTGTCAGGGATTTATATTTCTAATTTTCAAATGCAACTTTTTGTAGTCAGAGCTGCTGCTTTTCTCTCAAGCTGCTGCTATGAAAGAGGGTCCCAGAACTTACTTCACAGAACCGATAAAGTCATTCAAGGCAGTGAAGGATCTTGCTTTTTTAACCTTTCAGAAAGTCACTCAGTTGAGCAGTCAGGCCGTATTATTCTATATCTTGTCTGACATGAGGAAACAGTCCCAAAAGAAAGGTATCCCAAATTAACGCCACACTTAGTTAAATAGAGACATTCTTGGTTTTCACCAAGCTAATTCGATCCAGTTCAGTTAACTCATTTTTTTTTGTGCTCGGATCACAAAAGGCAGCCATGAATGAAGCAAGTTCATCATGTGTTTGACACATCAGTGTGGAACTAAAAGGCAGGCTGGGAGGGAGGGTTCCTGCCTTCAGCTTTTCAGACAATACTCGATGAAAGAGGCCCCTCATTCAAAACTGGTCTCCAGCAAGCGAGGCAGACTGCTGCGGATCACTGTTACAAACAGGTATAATGGGAATTAGCTGGAATTTGCTTCATCAGACACCTCTTGATTTCTAGTTGTGACTGTTTGTGTAATCCAATCTTCATCTAATATCCTCAGTCCAGCAGATGGTTCATGGGACTTCTCTATGAGCAAAAGACTGCCTGCTTTGGAAATGGAAAATAATGTACAGAATAAAAAAAAAGTAAAAAATAAAATAAAATTGTAAAGTAAATATTTTTTGCAGCAAAAACTATGTGGGTGTTTTTTTTACATTTCACATAACTTACAAATGTTAATTCTGCCACTTCGACTTTTACACCATAAAATATAGGGCTTATAAATTCAGATGACAGAGTCACAAAATACGTGTTCCTCACTGCTACCTTTAAAACAAAAAAAAAGCATATACATATTTTTGTAACATTTTGCTTTCTGTCAGAGAAGCTCACTCCCAACAGCAGGTCCATGCAATCTAACAAAACAGTTTAGGCTGTGATGCGAAAGAACAATGTCTGCTGTGTTGCTACCAAGTACATAGTATTTGTGAGCCACATCCAACTTCTGAACACATTCTCAGAGATTTAGTTGTCTGTCCAGACTTGCTTTAGCAAGCCCATCAAAACACGGCAGCACTGATTATTTTTTTTTGAAGGTATTTGCAAATAGTGACATCAACCTGAGAGACCAGTGGACTTTCTTAGGCCTGACACTTTGACAATGGCTGCTTTTGTTGACATCAGCTGGGCTTTTGCAGTTGAGGAAGAAGAAAAATCTCAACCCAATAAGATACTGAAGTAGTTTTGTTTTCTGGATATGTGGAATGATCACTGGGTTTGTAAAATAATAGATTCTTTACTGAATTTTAAATACGAAACAAATTGTTGCTGACAGAAGGTTGCTTTTCAGCTCTGACTTAAGCTGGTGATTTCACTGGAATTTCTAGAGGCCTTTATTTTCCTCTAGTAGCTTCCATGAAAACTGGGAATGCATGTTAGTCTGTGGGCTTTTGTTGTTATTTAACAGTTTCATCCCAGGAGCCTGTTCCCAGAATATTTAATTTAAAGTACCTCTTTTTGCTAGGAAGCTCAAGGTAAGTTTAGAGACAAGAGAAGAGTTAGGAAGCCCAGTCTGTAATATCATTTCTTGCATTTTTTAGTTTCTAAAATTTCATTACAAAAAGAATGTAAAAAATACACCCAAAAAGAAATGGACAAAGAATGTAGGAAAGTTTCCATTAATTTTGAATATTTTTCTACTTTTCCTACGTTCAAAAGTTCAAGAAAATAATTGATATTAAGTATTTTATAGCTATATACCTAATTCAGTAGTGTCCTTAGGAGGTGTTGTGGTCAGGTAAGTATGTACTGCTAATATTTGGGTTTGTTTTTTTTCCCCCCCACAGTTTTAATCTGAATCCTTCTGGCATTGAGGACCTCAGGAAAACAACGGTAAGTTGTGAAGTGTTATGGAAATCCATCAGTAAATATCAGCTAATTCATGCTTGACAAAATATTTCTTTTTGACCTATCTAGAAAATCCAGTTGCTTACTATAAATTTGGAAATAGAGGAAAGTTTTGCACTAAATATGTTGTATAATTCAGGTATAATGATGTAGTGAATAATGGAAAAATCAAATATTTGCACAGAAAATAAAAAGAAAACTGTTAATTTGGAGTATTTCAGGTGACTCTAGGGAAATTATAGTCAGGAGAGGAACTGCATTAGGCAGTGATGTGTTAGTTGACTTAGCAGGAGTTCCCATCACTGTAGTCAGGACAGTCTTTAGATGGCCAATCAAAACAGAAGTAATGAATTGATATATGACAGGGTTAATAAGACAAATAATAAATGAACAGCTTGTCTATAAAACACTAAAAATAGAAATGCTAGCAGTTATTCAAAATACTCTTTTGACTCTAAAAGTACCTTGAATTAATTGTATATTGAGAAAAGACAAAAAAAAAATCTACATATTTCCTATGCATTGCCTTTGTTTGAAGGAAAATATGATCTTACTGGAATTTGTTCTGTGAATAGATGAAATCTTTAAAAGTCAGTTTGTTTTCAATCTTAAAAATATATAGAAAACAATTTTCACAAGCAAATATGACTTTGTACTGTTTGTTTTCTCTCTAGTTTATGTAAATGGCTTGTAATAACATTTGATGTTATTGTAAATGCCTGAGTTTCTCTAATGTAAGTAACTGGTGGGAGATGTCAGAGGATATGAAGGCTGCCTTTGATCAGATAGTAAACTGAATTCTACCAGGCAGTTACTTAATCTCTGACAAAAAGCAACATAAAAAAAATTATTTAACATAGCAGCTATTGTCTGTAAAGTAACCATAATTACAGTTTCTATGTCCTTGCAAATGTATGGCTGCAAATCGTGTCAGTTATTGTTGGTAAAAGCATTGGTTTAATTCTTTTAAGCAATAAGATGTGAATTGTTTTATTGAAAGGATTTAAAGGTGGTAAAAGAAATCCTTGATGATTTTTCTTTTGGAATACCAGCTACCCGAAATGTCAGTTGTAGGATTATAAGGTGGTGCTCATTTAATACAAAATACAAATTAGGAGGAGAAGAGACTATATCTCAACCACAGTTTTGAATGAAACCATTTGATTTCTTATTTTTTTTAATATTCAAGATTGCTTTCTAAGGTGTTTGAAGTAATTTATTATTAGGTTCTGCAATAACAGCCCCCACTGAGTTATTATATTTCTTCCTTGTGCATCACATTTAGTAATTATGTTTGTATGTCTTCTACTCTGGTGCCAACACCTGTCTCTGAAAGCAGTGTTTAAATGGGAGCAGTAGCCAGTTGAAAGGGCAGTGTGAGCTCTTTAAGGCCTAATTAAGAACTGAAAGGAAGATGAAGTAAGTAGGACAAAAGATGTGAAAGTAGCTTAGATGATATTCCCAGAGCAGAATTCCTCATTAGAACAATAAAGAGATGATCAGAGATTTCCAGGCCTTCATTTTATCTAGCTCCATTTCCTCTGGCTGTCAGTGTGTACCCCAATAGTATTTTGTAGCTGAGACAATCACTCTTTGTGTAGCTTGTTATTTAGATTTTTTTCTTAATTATTCATTTTAAATAATATTTCATCTTAAAATGTTAGTAGTTGTTTTTATAAAGATATAATTGTTCCTCATACTTTTAAATCTCACTTATTTGCTCATTTTTAATCTTATTAACTTTAATAATATTTATTTCTAAGTACTAACAACCTTTAACTAGAATTTTGTGTAATTAATGTGGTAGGTTATTCCCCCAAAAAGATCTGTATAAAGGATGTGTATGACAAAACATCTTTAAAGCATAAGTATTACACAGTTTTCCAGTAAACTTTATATAATAATTAAAGACGTTACATCTTAATTCCTGTTCTTTTGCTAAAGCAGAATATTAGGAAAACTCATCTGTTTTAGACATGGAAGTGTAAATTATGTATTTTTTTCCAATTTTTACAAAAATTTAGTACCATAATGCTAAGTTTTTACTTCCTGCTTGTAGAAGAAAATGTGCTAAAAACAGTGAAGTTATTTTCTCTTCTGTAATTGCTGGAAATCAGTTAGTAACCAATGTATAAAAATTTCATCAAGTGAGGCATTTTAATTATCTGGGAGTTATTGATCAGCTACAATATTGTAACTTGATAATATCATTTAAAATACTGACTACACATACATAAAGTTAACAATATCTGAAATGTAGCGAGGAACGTAAGCACATGTTCTCAAGATCTCTGAATATAATTAGAATATAATTGATGGGGACAGGCTGATTAATTTGCAGTCCCCATCACTTGTAATTAGGTTTATTCGAAAACTTGGGCCACCTGCATATTTTAATGGTTCCACATATGCCAATGTATAAATATGGAGCTGTCTGGAGAGAAAAGGAATGAAGCATGGAAAAGGGATGAATATTACTTGATTATGTGATGTGCTTTCTAGCTGTGCAAGCTTTATCGTTTTTAATGACACGTTTCTACTCTAAACAAAAGCTGTTTTGTGTTCCTGCCCCGTTAGGAGGTGCAGGATTGGAGAGGTTAGATTATTCTGCTTAAGAGTTTCCGTATCCTTTAAAATGTCTCCACTTCCAGTTGAGCTAAAACTAACTGCTCAGCATGTCTAACAGTGCTGTAACTTCTATAAACCGACTCGCACAATCTTTTTGACGGTCATACATATCTAAATATTTCACAGTCTGGTTAGGCAAGGGCACAGCTAATTCTTCTTGACAAAGAGTAAGACATTCAAGTTTATAGTGGATCTCATGTTGCCCTTTGTTAAGGGGACAACTTTGTCCACCTCAGTTAATACCTGCACTTAATGAGTCATCAGAAGTCATTACAGAAACAGTTCTTATTTTTCTTGCTGCTTAATTCTGGGCCCCTCCTGCTTTCAAGCAAGCAAGCAAGCAGGCAAGATCTTTTAGCAGTATCTATTTCTGCCTTCAGCACTCTGGTACAAATAAGATGCAGTCTTTTAACTTTGTCTGAAATGTAAAATTGAAAGTTCTGTTGTATGATTCAGAGGCCAAGGGCTGGAGAGCCACTGATGACTAAAAATAGCGTATGAAAGACAGATGAGGGCTGATGTCAGTTAAAGCCAAGTAAATGTTTTGCTATGATGCACTCAAAAGGTGAGAGCTCAGGGAAGTGACTGTAGGACTGGAATTCTCAGGGCTTTCTCTTGTTCTTCTGTAATTAAGTTCACCACATAGTCACTTTCCCAGAATGGACCTTTTAACTCTTCTTGTGGCTACTGCCCTTACGGTCATTAACTTTGTTTACATCTCTCTGAGAACAGTATTTTTTTTCTGAAATGACAGCGTGGGAAACTTGTCTTAAACTGAGTTTCCTGAGTTAAACTGAGATTCTCTCCAGTTTTCTGTTCCAGTGAGGGCACTGGAGGGAACAGCTCTAGAGCAAATGGAGGTGTTTTGTCTAAGAGATGTTGCTTCTGTCAAGAGACGCGCGTGAAAAGCAATCACACCACGACTTGTATGTCAGAGCACACACCTACTTAATGAAACTTGGTGTTTTGGTTTTTTTAACTTCTCCTTAGGATGGGAATCCTTTCGACGCCACGGCGGGATATCGCAACCTCACCTATGAAGAGGTTTTGCAGGAGCTGGTGAAACACAAAGAGCAGCTGAAGAAGAAGGACACTCACATTCGTGAACTGGAGGATTACATTGACAATCTTCTCGTACGAGTGATGGAAGAGACACCCAGTATTCTCAGAGTGCCATATGAACCCTCTCGAAAAGCTGGCAAATTTTCCAAAAGTTAAGATGGTGACACTGGATGGTACTTTCTGCTGAATGTGTTAGTGGAAGGAAATCACACTTTAACTTCTCTCCATTCCTTTTCTCCTAAGAAATTCCAGGAACTGGGGGAGGACAGGAATGTGGTGTGGGGTTTTTTTAATTTTTTTTTTCTTTTTTTTACTCCAAACACTAGCAGGGACTGCCAAAAGTAATATTCTGGTAGATTACCTAAATAATAATTTTTTGGTCCTTTTTGAAAATACTTTAAGGTACAGAATACTTATGGTAGAGTAAATAAGACACATTAAATATGTCCATACAGTTTATATAAGAGCTTATTGTTCACCGTGTGGCATTTTCAGCAGGGAAACCTGTGCTATTATGAATGTTCTCTTGAATGATTCTGGGTACTATGTAAATATATTGATCCTGGTATTAAAACATGCCATTAAGGCCACTGTTTTCAAGCCAGTGCAGTCACTTTACTAAATCTAAGTCTGGCTTGTTGCAATGGAATCTAGTTTGTTCTGCACATCTTAAACGAAAAGAGTGATGCACAGTCTTTGCAGAGTAAATGCTGTATTCTATAGGGTGTGCTTTTTGTAGAACAGTGTAAAAAGAATACCATGCCATTTCAGTACTGGCACCTGCTGGAATCAGTTGCTTTACACTTAAATGCTGAATTTTGTGTACAATGGTAGTGAGTTCATGGCATAAGGTTGTTTTGAGGATCATTTTATGTGAAGTTATTGCATGCTTTTTTATATGCTAAAGTACATTGAAAGTGTCAATAGTCTGAAGTAGGACTGGAGAACAGTATGGAATAAAGATATGCATACTTTGTTCAGCCAAAGTCTACTACAGTAAAAATGTATGAGAAATTAACAGACTGACTTAAAGAGTCATGATAATTCAAAAAATATAGAACTGGCTCAGTTTAAGGTTGAGTTTCACATGGTATATATTTGTCTTAGTTTTTTTAATGTTATGACAACAAAGTATATGCCCTTAGAAATAAGCTATGTTGCTAAAACACATAGAGTACTCAGAAAGACTTTCTATTTAAAAAAATCTGTATTCCTTGTAAATACTTCTAAAAGTCAGTTTTCATTGAGGCAAATGAAAGAAGAATGTAGTAGGTATCTTCCCAATCAGTTAAAAATTGTTTATAAAATGACATATAAAGAAGGTATCAGTACAATAAATAAGAAAAATATAGTGATGACCTATATAATGGAAAACTACTCTAGGAGAATCCTCACAATATTAACAGAAATAGATTTTAATTTTAATTTCTTTCTCAAGAATCTCAGTTGGATTGTCAGGTGCTGTGAAACAGTAAGACAATATTTTTTAAAAGTAAAGAGAATATTTTAGATTTCTATCTAAGAAAACTGACACTTTTCCTCCTTCTCTTCTTTTTCTACACCTGACCTGTTTTGTTGTTTTTTTCTTACAGCACCATGTAATGGCTGTTGCTGAGAAAGAAAAAAAGCTTGTAGTTAAATTCCAATTTTTGTTGTAAAAGATGTAAATATATTTTCATTTTTAAAACTGAGAAAGAATAGTAATATCTTGATCTGGAAAAGTTGAAAAAGTTTATTATTTGAATGGTTTTGACAATGTTAGTATTGTGTGACAGTGCAGAATTATTATTGTTAGAAAAAAAAAAAGAGTCTTTGTACAGTTGTCTGATTTAGTTCACTACTTTTTGCTTTTTCTTCTATTTTTTTTTTTCCCATTTTCTTATTTTTTAGGAACTAGCTCTCATCCTCCTAGAGCTATGTCCCTAGAATTTATGCAGTTTGAGTGTTCCCAGCCCAGCACTGTGCCTGGATGGAGCTTGGCTGATTCCAGCCCCACCTGATGGCAGTGCCCTGCAGCTGGGCAGTTGTAGCACAGAGATGGGCCCGTTTCTTCAGATAGTCTCTCTTTTGACAACATAAGGATTTATCAAGTTCAGTACCTCATAAGCCACCCGAATGTTCTTTTGACCCACGTCAGATCTAAATGACTGTAAACTTCTTGTACTATATTTGAAATGCCAAAGGTTATGTACAAAGTTATGGTACACTTACTGTTGGAAGTTAGGTTTTGCACTCAGTTAGATTTTAATTTCCTAATTCCACCAAGATGTATTTCAGCTACTCAGTATTTCCATAGAAATTCTTAAACAGTTTCAAATGTTTGGCCAAAGCAAGTGGTTTTCTTATATTGTTAATGGGGGACTGTTGTGCAATTGTTTTGAATTCCAGAGTCATTTTCAAACTAACTGGTGTGAGACCATCTGTAGTATCTACAGTGATTAAAACATACACACCAATGGGGTTTAACAAATAAACTAACCAGAGAATATGATCCAGTGACTTTTCACTTGCAAGCCAACTTAACGATTATTAAAATGAAGCTCTACTATATTTAGCACCTCTGAAATCACTTCTTTTAGAATGTAAATGTAGAATATCAAACTGCATAATTGACTAAGAGCAGATCATTTGACATATTTGCATACCAAGAGTGATAAGCAGATTAAAGGTAGCGAAAAGATCAATTTTTGTGCATTAGGGAAGAAATTTATTGAAGCTTTGAATGTGCTATCTAGTCTTTATCTGATCTGTAAGTGAATAAAAGCACCTTTTGTTTCTAAGGGTTTGTTGAGAAAGAGGGAAGAACAACAAAAGCAATTTAGGAGAAGGTAAAGCTACTAAGAGAGGCAGAATGGGACATTTAAAGCTATGAAAATATTTGTATAGCATTCTTGCAGCTAAAGATATGGGCTGCTTTGGGAGCAATTCTGGAAAGATTACATGCACATCATCATTTTCTGCTGAGAAAGAAATTTTAACTTTATTCTGTAATTTGAGCTTATTTTTTTAAAAGCATCTTCACCTCACATGTATTTTTTGAACCATGCAGCTTCAAATAGAAGTTTCATAGAGCAATTTATATGTTGAAAACAAAGAAAGTTCTGTTCCCCTCCCCCCCCAGGATTAAATTATAAGCTTTCTTGCAGATCATTAATAATAATAATAACAACTTGCCACTTACAATCAGTCTTTCTTGCCCTTTAAAATGTAGGGATGAAAATTTTTGGACATCTCCACATTATTTTTCTTTTTTTTCTCAAACATTAGCATAAGAGTTCATCCATGCACATAGTGTACTTTGAAGTTATCCTTTGAAATGTGTCCTCTGCTCATAGCCATGTACTTTACTTACTTTAAAGAATATTAAGGCCATACTTTAATGTTGTAAGTAACAAATTTAAACTTTCTGCTGTTCAAGAAGATTGTTTAATATTTATATACACATTAACTCTTGCTGCTGTATTTTACATTTAGCTTGGTTTTCTGTCTACTAATGAATGTAGCATTCTCCATAGATTATACATAACTACATTTATTATTCTTGGCTCTGTATCAAGAATTATTGTAATTTTCCAGCTGTGAAAATGTTACCTTGCATTTAGAAAGGTTTCATGTTTTGGGGACCTGATCAAAGTCATGCTCATTAGGTACTGGTCTGCATTTCTTTCTGCACAGGATGCCCTTTCTTGTATGCATCATAAAATGAACAGAACTGCTGTCTTAATATGTTTACTGCTGCACTGGAGGTTTTTTACACCTCCAGCTTTAAAGAAAACTTATTGTCCCTATATGAAGTATGTAGAGTAAGCTCATGCTTTTTTGCTTTTTATGTATCCGTTACTGTTGTAGATATGATAGAGGCATTAGCTGTGAGCTGTTAAAATGGTGATATTTAAAGCATGTTGACTAACTTCCTCTCTTTGAAGTACACCATGAAGGATTGTAGTGCTGCTGTGTTGATGATGCTAGATACAAGGGTCTGTCAGCACTTTCAGTGTGAAACCCTATTTTCAGGGATTTATAACTTCTAAATGTAGATACAGTCACTGGAAGTGTTTAATATGCAATGGGTAGCACTTTAATTTGTTTATGAAGGGTTCTGAGATTTGTTTCTGTCAAAATAGTGATGGTCTCCTAAAGCATGGTGGGCATTTGTTTTATCCTTCATAATCTGTACATTGAAGAAGCCACTGTATGTTATGAATGGTAGAGCCATTCCTCTTCATCTTAGAAGCTTCCAGTTGTCTTGTATTATTACAATGTGCTATAAAGAGCTGAAGATCCAGGTTATGTAGGAAGTTGTAAAAGATACAATCATTACTTGCAGCTTAAAGGTTGATTCCATCTTGTGCAGTCAATGGTAGTTTGTCTACATGTGATGATGGTACAGAATCACAACTGTGTGCACATGTGAGAACTATAAACTTAGAATGCATGAAAGACTTTATTTTGGTTACGTTACTGCAACTTCAACTCCTTTAGTTTGGTTCCAGTGTTACTTTAATGTTTTAATTTCTGTTCACTTAGTAAATATTGCATGTCTAACACTAATAAAGCACCACAATGCACTACCACCGCATTTCTTGAATTGTGATGTTCATCTGAGCTATGCAAAGCATGTCACTCCTAAGCTGGGCTAAAGTATGTGTTTGTAAGCACCATGTGGTTAAGGCTCTCAGACCGCAGAGGTATTTCCTTAAGGACAGCTCTTAATGAATATCCCAGCTGTTTCCAGGGCAGCCATTAAGGCAAATCTCTTCAGCAGTGTCCAAAACATAGTGAAAAAAAGGCATGATCTTAATAATATCTATTTTTCTTTTTTTAATATGAAAGCTGCAGTCTCTGTAAGTGCAACATTCCTGAGAGTCTGCTGTTGTGTAAATGCTGCTGGGAGATCCCTGGCACTGCAGGGCAGGATGGCACTGAGTGTGAGGACAAACACTTTGCAAATTTTGATGCAGAAAGCATGATGCATATTTCTCTTCCTACCTGAGAGAATAAAACCCAGCCAGGGTTACAGAAAACTGGAGCTTCCCACCTCCGAGCCCCAGAGATATTTTTTTCACTGCTCTCACAAGTTTTTCAACAGTTTTCTCAGAAAAAGAAAAGGCTTTTGCCTGTCTTCTTTTCCGTGAGGCAGCAAGGCAGCAAAGGGTTCCCTGACAACAGGATGCTAAGGAGATACGAGGAGTGGTCCTGCCTCAGGAGAAGAATGTTGTGAGTAGTTCACCCGCTTACTGAGGAAGCTGGAATTTCACTGGGATGTCATTCCTTTCCTTGAAGTTAGCTGGCTCTGTGACTAGGTCCTACAGCCTGCCACTGTGG